TAACTTAATCCAGAGAAAATGTTTCCGTTATACCTTTTTTATTTAAAAATACACTTTCTGAAATTAAAAAATATAAACTATTTTTTTTTAGTATAAAAAATTTAATTATTCAATCCTAAGGCGATTGTAATAGAACTTTGATAGAAATAAAAAGATAAGTTTAACCAAACTTAAAAACCTTTTATTAATAAATTGTTGTTTATCTAATACAAAATAACTCCTCATCTGGCTCGAACACACTCTTGGGTATCCTTTCTTGTGGTAACCTGTCTCATTCTTGAAGAGCAGCTTCCCTGAGCTGCGTTTCAGTTGAGTTGAGCGTTTGAGTTTCAAACAGCTCGCTTAAGAGCAACGCGTGCTCTATTGGGTTTAAGTCAGGAGAGCCGGCAGGCCAGTCTTGTGATTTCGTATTCTCGGTGAGTAACATTGACTCGTTGAGCTCGATGTGCGGGCGCATTATCGTCAACCAGTACAAATTAGTGCCCATGGTTTACTCGGAAAGGTCTGACGATTCTATCAATAGCGACTGTTTTGTATCTGTCTGCCGTCATGAAGCTTTGATAAGGGATTAAAGGCATTCTAGCCCCAATCATAATACCATCCCGAAAGGAAACTGATTTCCCACCTTGTTGAACCGTTCATGTGGCCGTTCTTTGCCTTTTAGTCTCCAGGTCTTCTCCAAACATGGACACGCCGGTTATCTGGATGAGTACAGATTCGTGTTTCGTCAACGAAGAGGCAGTTTTGCCAAATGTTTTCCTCTTCGTCTTCTTTGTTTTGCCGGAGCTTAGCCCAATGTAATCTCCGACGCTGACTTCCCGTGAAATCAAATCTTGGGCTCGCCAAGACCCCCGTGCTTGTAATCCAGCCTTGTGTAAGCAATGCCGAATGGTCTGAGTGCTAACTTCCGGTCCGGAGGCGGCCCGTATATCTGCTTTTAATTTAGTGGCGTTTATTGTTGGGTCTCGGGCTACCAGCAACCTGATGTAGCGCTTCTGAGCAGCTGTCAAAACAGTTGGGCGACCGCTACGGGGTCGACCAGCTAAATTACCCATGCCGTGGTACCTCTGCAAGGTGGTTACTACACAGGATTGGGATATGGCAACTCTGCGTGCTATTTCTCTCGTAGAATAGCCTTCTTCATTTAGAAATCTGACTTAATTAGACTTCTGAATGAATGTCAGCTTGGATTGCATGTCTTTTTATATGGAAAAACAATTGTACTACTTTATTGTTTTACGTTATAATTCCAATTTTAAAATCTTATCAGAAAAATAAATTACAAAAAAGTTTTCGTTTTGAAAAATAATTCTAATTTTAATACCTTTTTTTTAATACCTTTTTATTTTTCCAAGTGATCGCAAACTTTTTTTGTACATTACGGCGATTCATTTCTACTTTTACTGATTTTTACCCTTAAGAGATGAAGAACTCCCAAAAAGAAATATAATATTCAGTAAACTTTAATTGATAACCATAACTTTATTCTAAACTGAATTTCATGTTGGTTGGAAAGAAAATGTACGAGTATATTTTCTTTCCACCCTTATTATATTACAATAAGCGAATTCTACTTGCGAAGCCAATTTCCTTCTCGGGGCCTACCAATGTCATTTCCCCTACCGTCACACTGGTGTGACAAGTTCGCATCCGTAACACTAGTGTTATGCTAGTCAGAGCTTCATTTAGAGTTCTGACCACCCCAGACTAACTATGAATATGCGCCCCCCTGCCTGTCCTGTCCTATCTATTCATTCATTCACAAGTGCAAATAATTAAATACAACTATAGAAGAGAGCTTACGTAAGCTAACATTATTATTGAATCGAACTGTCACTCAATGCACGGTGCCCCTAGCCATTCACCTCCGGTCTGTTAAGACCAATTCCTATAATGTATACTGATCTCATAATGAACAAATATAAAAACCATCTATTCCGGATATAAAACTGACAAATTCATGTACTGTCGAAAGTTATGTAAGTACTTTATTTTTTTTTAAATATTCTTGTCTCCAATTATGTGAAATACTTTATTTGAAATCTACTTTACCTATTAGCATGAAATTTGATATAGAAATTGAAAAGTCATGAAGGTAGGAGTTGTCCCGTATTCTTAAGAAGCCTGCTAGGAGCGGTTCTTATGTTTATTCTTAATAACTGCTATTGCTCAAGACTTTATGGTGTGTTTCTGGTACATGAAAAATAAAGGATTTTAAAATAATTACTGTTATATAAACTGAATATCTAGAGATTGACATAGGATTTTAATCGTAAATACTACTTTAGGGTACAAAAAAAACTGTGGTGAAGGTATTAAAAGATTTGAGAAAATAGTTCAGTTTTTACTCAAATATTGGTTTTGACTTAATATCTTAATACCTTTTTATGTCAGACAATAAGAATATCGTGTCTTATAAAATAAATACGTTTAGAAAATCAGTCATTTTGGGAAAAGGTGATTTTGATATTTGTTAATTATTATGACATCAACATAATATAGGAATCGGTCCAAACAGACCGAAGGGATCAGTACCAAACAGCACTCATTTAGCACTAAAATTTGGCTGTAGGTTTTACTTACCCTTTACTTAAAAGTTTTTTTTGTGCCGAGGGTTGCTTTTAATCTCGGTGTGGGCGCCATCCCTTGAGAAATATTTTTCAAACAAGTATGGGAAAAGATAGCATGCCTAATTTCTTAGCACATTCTGTTTTATAAAGTTTTTACTTATCTATCTATACATACTTATAATAAAATGGTAGGAAAGTCAGAACTGTACATTGAATATTTTTCAAAAAGAATACATGGGGTGTGATCTACAATCGATACCGAAGCCAAAAATATAGTTTTTAAAATTTTTGTCTGTTTGTCTATATGTATGTCCGGGATAAACTCAAAAAGTACTGCATGGATTTACTTCAAATTTAGCACGAATATTATTAAGAAGTCCGGTCAATATATAGGCTACATATTATCACGAAACTCTACCCCTAAGGGGGTAATACGGGGGTTGAAAGTTTGTATGAAAGTTCTGTTTTTGAAGTAGGAGACTTGAAAGGACAATGTTAAAATTGGCCTAAGAACCAACACCAATTTGGCATTTATGATAACTCTTAGTATATTTTTTGCGATAATTATCAGTATTTAGATTGTGACGGACACTTCCACTTAAGTAAGCTAAATTAAAAAGCTAATAAATAATCTGAGACAATAAATACCATTTTATGTATATAATCTATGACAGGGCTGCAAACAAAAAACACTTTCTTCCTAATGCCGGCACTTCACTTGGCTATTCGTATTTGCTATTTAAAAACATGACATCAGTCTGTCCTTTTCATTCCTTATTAAGCATGATGAGGACAAACTGTTGTCAAGTGAAGGGCCGGCATAAACTCGATACTCTGTGGTTGTGGTGCAGGCAGTTTGCATTCGTAGTAATCTGTGGCATTCGTGCATTCTCGTCAAAGAGTACTTTTTATATACGGAAAATTCTCGTTTCGGATTACCTGTTGTGTGTGTTTATTTGCGATTGTTTTTCCTTTAATTTACTTTTACTATTTCGGCTATCTAATATGCCATCGATGTTACCAAAAAGCAGAGACCATATTACTAAGTGCTAGTGAACCTGTGCCACAACATCCTGAGAGGATCCTACTGCCAAATTATTCAACAGCACCTGATATACATTCACGCTGCATATTTACACAATATACATGTGTTAAACAAATAAATACAATATGATACAATTATGTGAAAAATAGCCAATAAATAATAAGAAGCAAAACTACAGATTTTATTTTATTCATGATTCCTACCTAACCAAGTTTGTCCTATTAGTTATTCTTTAAAATCGCACCGAATAAAATGAATTAGTTGTAATATTAATTCACTACAAACTTAGTTCATACTAAGTTCGTAGGTTAACATAACCTCAAAAAAATTTTAGTTTTCCTAATAATTTAAGTTCTCAGAAGTGTCCGTCAATAATCTTTGTTTTTACCTTCATTTTCTTGCGATTTCAAACCTAGAAAATAATATTTCATGATTGTTGGTTCTTAGGCTAACTATGTATGGACGCAGAACAATGTCCTTTAACATTGTTTGTTCTATAAGATGGTGAAGAGGTGTACTAATAATGTATCTTCATAAATAAGCCCCCTTTTGGGGTCAAAAAGTATGTACAAATAATTAACTCCACGCGTACGATGTCGCGGGCGGCCGCTAGTACATTATAATAAAATAGTAGGGAAGTCAAAACTGTACATTGAATATTTTTTTAAAAGAATACTTGGGGTGTGATCTACAATTGATACCGAAGCCAAAAATATAGTTTTTAGAATTTTTGTCCGTTTGTCTGTCTGTACGTATGTCCAGGATAATCTCAAAAAGTACTGCATGGATTTACTTCAAATTTTGCACGAATATTATTAAGAAGTCGAGTCAACATATAGGCTACATATTATTACGCTATCGCCTACGGGGAACGAGCCGTGAACCTTTATTTCTAACTAACTCCATGAGTACGAAGTCGCAGGCGGCCGCTAGCAGTCAATTATATTGGGTCTTAAATATCACTGAAAATATAAATAATAACAGGCACTCCGTTAATAGCTTGCTTTAGTTAAATTAGCTTGTTAATGGTTGGTTTTTCTTCAACAAACGTGAAAATACATATTTTCTAAATGATATATCCAAAAAATAAGCTATGTAGGTACTTTTGAGTAGTTTGAAAGTAAAAGTTGTGCTATGTGGCAGAATTGAGGTTTTTTCCGTGCATTGACTGCACTACAAGTAGACGAAAAGAACGAAATAATTCCAAAGCTTATTTTTACGATCTGTTTATTTTGTCCTAAAAATATAAAAGAAGAAATTTAGAAAAATAACAATTTACGAATAAATCGGCGTTTATTGTTGACGGTTTCTATCTGTGGTTTCAATTTGTTTTCCATTTTTCAAGGCGGAAGTGGTACGATAATCGAAACACTAGGTACCGTGGAGTTTTCACGGTGAATGTTGTCGAAGCGACGTCCGTTACGAGTGCCGATGCTACCATAGTATGTACCTATACTGTGTTCAGAGTCAGAGGTGCTTATGCCGGCTACAGACCTTCAGTTTTGACTGCACAGTTTTAACTGAACAGTCGAACTGTTCAGTTAAAACGTACGTGTGTAGGCAAAACTAGAAACTGTACAGTTGAACTGACAATTTATTTAAAAATCATTAAATAAAACTGCTCAGTTAAAACTGTGCAAGTAAAACTGAAGGTGTGTAGCAAAAATAACTGTGCAGTTGTCAGTTTTGCCAAAGCGCCGCCGGAGTGATCACGTGTTTTATGATAGTTTTAGTGATAGTTACATCGAAACTAACAATGCCAAATCTACGTGAATGGTTAGAAGAATTTATAGAATTATATCATTCAGAGCCTTGCTTGTGGAAAGTTAAAACAAAAGAGTACCACGACCGTGGCAAAAAAGAAGCAGCCTACGAAAAGTTATTGGCGAAACTTCGAGAGATTGAACCATCAAATAGTTATTATAGTCTTTTGGACAAATTCTGAGCTCTTTCAGTAAATTGTCATGCGAATAAAGTTTTCTTTTCAATAACCAATGTTTACACCACATTTTTTTCCTTCTTTGTATTCTTTTTTCCAAAATGCATAATAGTCCAATAATTGCCACAGTGTCATCTGATGATGCCATGGCGACGTGTTACTTCGAGCGAAAAAGATTACAACTGAAATAACTCAACGTGTGTAGACACTAGGGACGCCAGTTTTAACTGAACAGTTCGACTGTTCAGTTAAAACTGTGCAGTCAAAACTGAAGGTCTGTAGCCGGCATTAGGTGCTGCTCGCCCTCTGTAGTTCATACACTCGCGGCTGGTTGCGAATCGCACACGCAAATGTCATAGATAGAACGCGTACGCGCAACGAGCGTGATGCAGTGATATATTAGGAAGTGAAATTGTTTTTATTAAAAACAAAATATTGAGCAAATAAAGACTATCACGAAAAAATAAATACTCACAAAATGGCATTAGTGACGATAAAATTCTTTGGTAAGTTATTAGTCCTGTTATGTATTATGTTATGTTATATGTATGTTATTAAGCTTGAAGAATTTTGATTTGTTTTTAATGTTTCCGCGCACAAAACCACAGAGACAAATAATTTGACGTATTTATGTTCGGATGATTATTTCTAGGAATGTAACTAAATTATCTCATTCATTTCATAATATAACAGAAAAACCATGAAAAATCAGTAAAATATCTTATAGAGCTCTAACTGTTAGCATAGAAATATGAAACTACCGTGATTTTTTAATAGGTGGAATCATACTAAATATTTTTTTACTTACATAAAATAAATATAGAATATGATTTGTTGAGGTATAGGTAGGCAATTAACAATAATTTATTTACAGTGTACAGCTTGTATTTTTAAATAAGATAAGTACAACCTCTGAACTGACTACTACCAAAGACTGTCAAAATAAAATTATTTGAACTTTGTAAAGTGATAATTGGATGGTAATCATTCATAAACTTACTTAGAAAACTATTATAAAAACTGCATAGTAAATATAATAGTATTTATTGAAGATAAACCGTGTATTTTGATCAACCAACGCCACAAGGTATAAGTTTATAATATAAATTCTCATTCACTTATTAGTAAACCGTAATATTATTATTTCCATATCGAATATTTTATAGCGAGGAAATAACAAACAAAATAACAGTGAATAATATTCCAGGTTGATTATTTTCAAAGCAGAAAAGTAAGCTTTTGTAAACTTTTATTTTTCTTGAGTTGCATGTGTTTTTGCATTCATCAGTTATTTTATATATTTTTTCATTGAAGGCTCTTTCCTGTACTTAAGCACACTCGCAGACGCTTATTTGATTTTGTGTGGTCATCTTTTATTTTTTATTTAAATCACACCTGCGCTTCGTACACGTAGCTTACTTAAGAACCTGTAATGGACAAAATTTTAGTTCGATTTTTAAGAATTCATAGGAAACTAAAACTGAACTCATAATAAAATTTTTAAACAAAAAATAAAACGGACTTTAAAATCGAAAATGCAACTAAAAAGTATAAAATAATATCTGGTTCATGATTTGGAAGTCGGGCGAAAGAGAATTTTGGGAAACGGTGCACAATTGACGGAGAAATCGGTGTACATACATAAAAAATATATATAGTCGAACACAGAACCTCCTCCTTATTTGAAGTAGGTAAAAAAGCATGTCTCCACCCAGAAAGTAAACTTACTGTAGATGCAATTGTATTTCATCTAAACTCGTTCAAATGATTTTGTGTAATTGAGTAGCAGATATTCCAACTTGCATGTTACACATAATTTTAAGGCGATTCTCACACTGCCTCGCACTGCGCTGCGGGGTGAGTCGGGACAGTAGCCATGGTTGCGTGAGTTCATGCTCACGGCAAGATTTTTTTCGTATAATTTCCATGTTGATTTTAATTTTTTATATATTTCCTTGCATCGACATTAAAACTCAAAACACGTTAAACTTTATAAATTTGTGCATTTGGCACTTTAATGAATTTATGAAGTGATATACTTTTGGGCTTGATGAAAATAAGATTTATGCAGTGGCGAACTATGTAGGATTGCACATTAAATTATGAATTTCTAATTAAATATGGTGTATGGGTGGGCCCTAAGTTTTGTGGCGTCATATTTCAAAATCTACTGCTATGAACTACGTATTTTCAAAAAACTAAAAAAAAATTATATATCTATTTGTAGGTTTGGGCTATAATTTGTTTTGTTGGCTCATTTTCGGAACTGCTGTTTTAATTTAATATTAAGAAGATGGAGGGGACTCACAAAGGTTACTAGCTGTGACAAGGACGGGGGAGGGGTAAAAAAAATTTAGACAAATTGCATAATAATTTTTATATTCTCATTTTTCGAGAAGGCAAAAGGAACAAAGCGCATACAGCTATATTTTTAATTCCCAATCTATTTCATATCAAGATTACCGTACAGCCATTGTATTGAGAAATATTTGGCTAAGGATTAATACATAGATAGGACTTTAAAGTTTTTTACCAAAGTTTTTTATTATACACTTCACTTCCACCTTATGGAAGCTATGGAATTTGAGGCCCTTTCTCCCTTGCGTAACAAAGACCACAGGCACTCACGCTTCCTCGCACGTCACGTGTGCCTGTGGGTTTGTTACAGCGGGCGGGGGCTGCTTCCTCTCCGCGCCTCCGGGCTCTAAAAATACTTTTGGGGTAGGTAATACCAATACCACGACGTTTCTGTATTCAAGTTACATACAATATATTTTTATTACCAATCATTATATTATCATACATATTTATTATATTGCTAATTATTATTTTCTATGGCTGTATGATAATCTCAACTTTTGTCTCATAGACTACTGAAAAACTATAAAAAACATCAATGTAAATTTTCAAAATGGTGTTACGATTATTTTACAAAAAATTATCTCTAAAAAGACTACCCGTGCCTAAGTGTGGAATGTTTAATAATGTAATAAATAGAAGCTTTTTCAACAAAAAAAAGAAGAACAGCAAAGTTGTGGAGTTTCTACTCTTGGGCCCAGGAAGTACAGTATAATATCCGAATTACTAAGATTTAAGAAAATCAGAAGATACATTTTTCAAATATTTGTAATATGCACCATACTTTGGCACCATTATTCTGCAGAACTCGGTTTGCCATACCTAGCGTTTTGTCTGCACCCCCATGGTGCGTAGCTACCTTAGAAAGTGGCTACATGTATCCTGCATGAAGGCGTGTGATCTGCAACACTGCGAGTGAATGCATTTTCGGTGTGTTGCACTACGCGTGTTCGAAGAGAGGTACTTGCAAGAAAATGCACACCCGCGCTACACAGCATAGTGCGTGGCAGTGTTAGAATTACAGGTGAGAATCGCCTAATAGGATTATTAAACAAAATCCCCATTTCAAGAATAAGTACATTTTCCAATATTCGGACATGTTCCAAAATTGCATCACATTTCTACTTAAAACAACATAGTAACAATTTGAGAATACTAAATCGCGAGCTTAGACTAACTAATAAAAAAAGACAATATGTCAGAATTACTACTTACATTCTAGTCAAATTAATGATCAAGATTACTACAAACCAGTCTTGGGAGCGGTTTTAAGTTTAATATTATAAGACAGCTTCGTAAAATGATCCGACCGCGACATCACAATTACTATGTAAACTTTAAGTAAATGAATTTATTAACCTATTTGAGAATGTTTCATAATATTTATAGATACTTAAGTATGTTCTCTTTTGTGTTTTAATTAAGTAGTTAAACTATCTTATACAATTGTAACAGTTACAAAATACAATGAATGTATACATAAGCTTGAACTCATTGTCACATGTTATTGCGAAACGAATTATTGATCTTTTAAGTACTGGGTTAAATTATTCAGGATTCATTGTTTCCGTTAGTTTATCCAACGTTATATGTAGTTCAATGTTTACGCATGGACTTAGACTAGAGAAAATAGCCGGCCAAGTTCGTGTCGTGCCACGCGCATTGTAGCGTTCCGTAGTTGCCCGTTGTTACTACAATATATTTCAGAAGAAGTCTGTTTTATCCGTTATAAACAGGCAATCAAACATCATATTAGTGACTTTTAATCCCTATTATACACTTTTTATCCCTATCTTGAATATCAACAAACCGTATTACCTAATAAGCCATCCATTCTTTAGCATTAAACAAAAATAAAATAAGTTTTTTGGAACTAGTCCCCATGCAAGAACTATAAAATATTATAACTTTTTCTCTGCAGTAAGTATTCAAATTGCAATGATCTTATAGAATGTACAGTGAATTATATGTTTTCGCAAAACAGAAGGAAATGCAAGGTTTCATACGTATTTTCCAACAGCTTTGTCGCGGTTACCTACAAGTATGCTTAATAGACTGACAGGAAAATTTTGCTTAGTCATTGGAAAGTGGATTTAAATACCTGAGTTTAATGAATGTTTGTATCAATTAAATGTTTACTGGTCGTCGCTGTTTAAAGTAACGATTTGTGTTGTAAGTTAGATTATTCTTGATCGCTATTTATGGTGATATGGAGTGAAAGTGTCAAATGTAGTTACGCTTAGGTTACGCCGTTACAGTGAAATGGCGGGACCACTTTCTTAATTTATAATATTTCTTAACATCGGATTTAAAACCGAATCTCTATTATTTGCTACATTTTTTTTCAATATTTGATTCATCTCTTTGTCAGAGGATATATATTTAATAATTTTGACGTCAATATAGCGGAACCACACGAAACTGCAAATCAGAATGGTAATTCACTTAAATACAGACATATTTACCACCTCCTGTTCTACCACCTAAATCTCAAATTTGCTTTTAATTACATCAACTGATACCGCTGATAATCTTGTACAGGATAGGAAATCAGCAATTCAGACTTAAATAACTGGATTTGCCTGACGTTTTTAATATTTTTCTAAAATTCGTATATTCCTACATAATTTCTTATTTTTTTCTGCATATGCTTTTTATGTCTAAAGAATAAAAACTGGGAAGCTTAATATAGCAACGATAGCACCATATTTCAATTCTTATATATATACGAACATATATATATATATACACAGTCAGGTCATATTATATGTATTGTCACACAGTAAAAACTTTTCTTTCAGAATGCTGGCCACAAAAAAGTTTATTGAATTCGAATTGTTCATGAAAATAAAAATGTATACTTTTTAGAATTTTACTCATTTTGAAATATGGAGTGGACGCTTAAAGACCGTGTTGCAGCTATTGCGTTGCATCGTTGCGGTTACGCGCTAATTCCAATTTTTGACATACTGAAAAATTTGAATATAACCAAAAGATTCGTTTATCGTACCATCAAACAATACAATAAAGACTCTAGTGTAGATGACAGGTAAAGAAGTGGTCACCCTCGGTCTGTTAGGACTCCAGCAGTGATAACAGCTGTGAAGGTGCGAATTCAAAGAAATCCTAAACTTAAGCAGAAACTGTTGGCCCTTCAGATGGGGTTAAGCAGAACCACGGTGAAGAGGGTGTTAAATGAAGACTTAGGGTTTCGGGCATATCGAAGAAAAACAGGACAACGATGTCCTGTTTTTCTTCGATATGCCCGAGCCCGATTGCTCGTCTAATGGATCTGAGACTGAAAAGATGCCGCACTTTGTTGAAGCGGTACGTGGGAAAAAAATATCGGGAAATTCTTTTTTCGGATGAAAAAATTTTTACCGTAGAAGAGAGCTACAACAAACAAAACGATAAGGTGTACGCACACAGTAGTGAAGAAGCGAGCAACCGTATTCCACGTGTCCAACGAGGTCATTTTCCATCCTCGCTCATGGTATGGTTGGGAGTTTCTTATTGGGGCTTAACAGAGGTACATTTTTGTGAGAAAGGTATAAAAACGAATGCAGTTGTGTATCAAAATACAGTCCTGACGAACCTTGTGGAACCTGTTTCTCATACCATGTTCAATAACAGGCACTGGGTATTCCAACAAGATTCGGCGCCAGCTCATAGAGCGAAGAGCACACAAGACTTTCTGGCGGCGTGTGAAATCGACTTCATCCGGCACGAAGACTGGCCCTCCTCCAGTCTAGATTTGAGTCCGTTAGATTACAAGACATGGCAACACTTGGAGGAAAGGGCGTGCTCAAAGCCTCATCCCAATTTGGAGTCATTCAAGACATCCTTGATTAAGGCAGCCGCCGATATTGACATGGACGTCTTTCGTGCTGCGATAAACGACTGGCCGCGCAGGTTGAAGGCCTGTATTCAAAATCACGGAGGTCATTTTGAATAAACTTTATTGTCATAAGAATCTATGTTTTGTTAAGTTCATTTTGGTATATAAATGGTTACATAGTGAATAAACTTGTTTCAATTATTTTATATTAAACATGTGACAGAATTTATGACCTGACTAGGTATATAATACATTTTGGTGGTTTTATGAACACATACAGAAAGACAAAGTGTTTAGAGATACATGAGGCGTATATATATTACAGGTAATTATTTTTTAAGTCCCCCCCTGTCATCTTGCTGTGCACATAATCCTGCATTCTTCACGCACGCTATCCTCGTTTGCTGCTAACTTGCATTAACTTGAACTAGGTGTAAATTAAAGGTTTTAACAGTGTAATTTAACCATAGTTCAAATCGATTTAAGTAAGCATCAAATGACTGAGTCATATTGAAATAATATAGTAATAGAGGAATAAATAATATAGCCACTACTATTCACTTAATATAGTGATGTAGCATAAATTTACTTACCCGAACCCGCACCCTCCGCTATCCGGGCGGATGCACTGACCAATTATGCTTCCGCGATCCTAATGGTCATGTCGAAATTCTTCAAGTATTTCTTAGGCTGCATGTCAGCGCCATCTCTTCACATTGCAGTTAGCCCACAAAGTTCTGGCTATTATTCAAAATTAACTTATCTTTATTCTAATTGAATGCATAGTAAAACTCTTTTGAATCGTCAATTTTTTTCTCTACCACTTCTTAAAAACTTGACAACATTAACAAGAATAATGTAACAACTTTTACAAATGAATATGTTATAACAACGTCAATATAATCATGGCTAGCAGCCGCCCGCGACTTCGCCCGCGGTACCTTTACTTGAGTATCTTTCAGAAATCTAACATTTTTACGGGATAATAAGTATCCTGTCTCAGTCCAAGTAATAATCTACATGTGTGCCAAATTTTACCCAAAATCGCTCAGCCGTTTCTGCGTGATTGAGTAACAAACATACAAACTTTCACATTTATAAAATTAGTAGAATAGAAAATCTGTTGGAATGATTGGATCAATTCAAACTACACAAAAATATTTGATTTTGGCCAGCATTTACAGAAAATACCAATATTTCAGTTTTGTATCTCATTCCGTTGTGGAAGTTGGTTAAAAACGTCATAATGGCGGAACTATTAATTTAAGTCTGGATCGGTGATATCCCTTGCTATATCTTCCCTTATTACAATCTTACAAATGGAAGATCTAAAAGGTAGTTTAGATGAAATAAATATGTGTAAATAAGAGTATCTCCACTTAGATTTGCAGTATCGTGTGATCCCTCTGTTTTTGACGCCAAAATAGCGGTATTATATTATTAAATATTCTCAAAAAAAATGTCGATTCAAGAGCATTGATGAGATGCATTCAATTAGAATAAAGTTAAGTTAATTTTGAAAAATAGCCAGTAGTACATAATGGACCGGATTCTGACATGATTCCCTAAACCTAAAATTAAATTAAACAGTGGAACCAAATATTTTTATTAACGCTAGCAAACAATCAGAAAATCGGTAGTGAATCGTATTTTATAAAATATTGAAATTAAGAGAGTGGTCCCGCCATTTTGATAGTGATGTTGCGCTAGTGTGCCTGAATCGCGAAGCGTGTATCAATTCCATATGTTCCATTTAGGTACGTCTGACTACAAGTCATAAATTTTAAGTAGTGTATCACACGTAGGTAATGATCAAAAGTAGTAGCATAATAATGGTGGTCACTCATATGTAACCAATACAAATTAAAATATAACATGTTGGGACATTGATGAAGAGTAGACCAAAAACTGTATAATAAAAAATGAAAAAAAAAACTAGCAATATCAAGTATTGTTTATAAATCATTATGTATACATTGATAATTTTGGAAAATATGAGATGAGAGGATATTATAGGAGATGTAGGAATGGGAGCGACCGTCTGAGGAAGAAACCACCCTAAAGAAGACCACAGACTTTTGGTGGTGTCGTGTTTCTGCTGCTGGTAAGGATTCTGGGACTCCGCGGGGACCGTTCACTTTTCTGGACTAAAAAGGCGACCCCAAAAGGGACCCTATCTTAACTATAAAGTTCTATATTATTATAAAGTTGAACAGTTTTTTTTTGGTTGAACGCGCTAATCAGAAACTACTGGTACGATTTTAAATATTATAATGACAATTTTATTTATTGTATTAGAGTATTTATGTGCTCAAGAAAGTCACATAAAGATCTACTTTACTAGGCATTGTACGCTGCAATTATCTCAATGCATGTCATATGTTGCCATTATATTGTTTAAAAAACGTGACACGTATTTTATAACAATCATTGTATGATCATGAAGCGCTTGAAATTTATGTGAAATAAGTAATAATGTTTGTATAAAAGAATAAGCCAATAAGGATGATGACGGGTTAACGTAAATTAAATTCTATTTAGTGCGTCAGTTAGATTGGAATGAAAATAATGGACATTTATGTTTTCTTTTGTCAACCAACCAAAAATAGATAAAGCGCGCCAAAGTTTGAAGAATGGGGACTAGTGACGTCATTTCTAAGTGAAAATTGTACTAAGGCGTGACGCCATGGGACATTTCAAATCAATACTATACTAATACTGCACTGTCTTGACTATGTAAAAAGAGGAAAAATACGTGTCCAATATTTGATGATGATGACTAGCTATTCTTTGTTCATAAGACTACTTTAACTTTTATGATAATATAATATCTTACTAATACCTATATTCGTAAGATATTAAATTAATCTTAAAGGTTAAAATAGTCTTATTAAATTATTATAATATGTAGAGTTAAGTAAGTAGGTACCAAAGTACCTATATTAGCCTCGAGATGAAAAAAACAAAATATCTAGTTATTCACGCACACGCGAAATGTTCCTTAACACTGTAGGTGTAAGTACAGGATTTTCGAAGGAAAAATGTGTCTTACATGGAGTTCATTTAATTTTTATGAAACGGTGGAAATGTTATTTAACATTTTATAAATTTTATATAACAGTTTACCCTATAGTACAAATATAAGGAGGAAAAAAACAACTTTTTTAACGAATAGACCCAAAAACTACTGGACCGATTTCATAAGTATTGAATGCGTCAATTAACAGCCGATTTACGTCATAGAAAGTTTGCTGTTGCTTTTCCTTAAGATAATTTAGATTCATTTGGGTTCAATGCAAATAACCTATCTATTTAAATCAAATGAAGCACCTTGGTGACAGAAATTAATAAATTAAATATAACGCAATTTATCTACTATGCCTACTTGCGTTACGTTGTGACGCACGCATAAATTCAATTTCGCTCTCTTTTGAATATTTAAAGTAAAATGTGATGGTACTTGTAAAATGTTGTATATTTCTTTATCATAAAAAAGTATTTGTCATTATTGTAGATTTCAAGTATTATATTAGGTTGGGAGAAAAGTTTTTTTATATAAAAATTCTAAACATTTTTAATGAAGTTTTATTTACATTGAACTAAAGTATGTAGGTGCATTTTGTTCGACAACTTTTTTGGATGTAACGACATGATTCCATTGCTATAGATATTTTGAGGCTTCTGATCAAAAAACCGCGTCAAGTGGTTTTGCCAGTCCTCCCTTGATGTTAATCTGACACTGCCTAAAGAATTCTGAAGAGACCAAAACAGGTGGAAATCAAAAGGCGCAAGGTCAGGACTATACGGCGGATGCATTAACACCTCCCAGTCAAGCTCTCTTAATTTTTGCTGAGTGGCTAAAGATGCACACATCTTCATCATGATAACGCTAGACCTCACAAGGTCTAGCGTTATCATGATGAAAAACCACACCCCTTCTGTTGATTTAATCCTGCCGCTTTTTCACAACTTCTTGCTTTAATCTTATCAGTTGTTAGCGGTAGAGTTTTCATCAGTTGTTCGTAGTAGAGTTCAGAATTGATGGTCCTGCCTTACGATATCAGCAATGCCCTTCCAATCCCTCCATACACACAGCATCACCTTGTTGCGAGTTAACCCGGGTTTCGCCAGTCTGTGCCTTTGATCACGATATTTTTCGCACGTTCTTGTCGTACGTGATCCAGTTCTCATCACCAGTTATCAGCTTCTTCAAAAATGGTTCGGTTTCATTACGTCGTAATAAAGAATCACAAATGAGTACGGCTTCCGTTGCATTTTTACCTTTTTTGTAGGAAATTTTTAAAATATATCGAATTTCTTCATTACATTCACTCATTTTGACAGTAAGTAAAACAAATGAAAATCACACATTTTTCTTATTTAAAGGAGATGTTTCATGTTTTATGGGATATTTTATAATAAAAGCAAGCAAGAACATAGTCGACTCTGACCATTAAAAATTCCATATTTAGCTTTATTTTGCGGTACAGAATTTTTAAAATTAATTATGACATTCAATATCTTCAATAGCGAACATAGTTGTCAACGTCAGTTTGGCGTATATCAAATCTCGAAAACTTATCGTTACTGTCAGTCATGCTATAATATTTTTGAGCTACCTTAAGCTAGTATAGTTTAGACTTTTTGAGTACCTATGCTTTAGTTACGCTACGCTGTTTTTTACACATAACATTTTTGAACTTACTATATTTTCATTACTAATATTACCACAGACTTCATAAAGATATCGGCAAAATCGCCGCATTATTCTTCATTAAACCAATAAAATAGGTAAAGAAACTAATTACTATTATTTTAAATCTTATTTAAACAGCTAGCAGTTGAATGCTTAAGAAAATATTATTTTTCTGGGAATGCTTATTGTTTATCCTATTTTTTAGGAATGTGTACATAGACCTGACCCAAAATCAAACATCTCCTTTGGAATTATCTTCTTTAAAATTTTAACTTTTTAATGATACCAAAACCAGCCAGATACAAAGTGGTAATAGCTAAAGAGATTTTATTACAAGTTCATAGATACTATAATGCGAAGACTTACTTTTTTCCAACCTATTACAACTGGTGTTATCATTGGATAGTACAACCACCGTGCCATTGGTTATGTTATGCTACGAGTATAGTACGATTATGGTAGATACAAGTTCTCTAGAAACATGTGCTTATTATTAAGGCATTATGGAATTTTCGATTACTTTCTAACTCAGTAGCTCTACTTACTTATATGTATGGCAAATGATAAGGTCAATGATTGTATAAATGTTTCTTTTATTGCATAACGTTTGGTTAAAAATATGTATCTCTTTTTGTTCCATACTCTTTCTCTCAAAGCTCATTCTTTAAAGAAAAAATACTTTTTGAATGGATATAAAACGCGATCTTTTAAGTTTTTACATTATTCTTGACGTTTCGTATCCTTTATAGGCTCCGTGGTTGCGTCGAGTTTGTAATGGCTCAATTACACTTGGTCGTTAGTCCGTAGTCGGGTGTACGAAAGACATTACTCGAATTCGGGCACCGGAAACAATATTTACACCAAAACGAAAATTACCCGAATACGGGCGTACTCGACTCCGTTCATTTACACTTAGTCGTTTACTCGAATTCCATTGGCAATTGTATTCGGGCTAACGACCATGTGTAGCCATAAAGGTTCCGAAAAATATAACTTTTAGCTTCATAAAAAAAACCCGGCCAAGTGCGAGTCGGACTCGTGCACCGAGGGTTCCGTACAAACCTGTAGGTATATTTTAATAATTATTAAAAAAAAAAATGGTTGCCTGTAAAGTCGGTTTTACGGGCGAAGATTTTACGTGACAACGTCTTTTTCTCGGTAGAATATTTATTGATATGAATATAATTAAATTGCACAATAGGAACAAGGAATTGAATGAAAATAAGAATTGCACAAATTTTAACTATAGAAATATATTTTGTTTACTAAAAAAAAATGGTTGCCTGTAAAGTCGGTTTTACGGGCGAAGATTTTACGTGACAACGTCTTTTTCTCGGTAGAATATTTATTGATATGAATATAATTAAATTGCACAATAGGAACAAGGAATTGAATGAAAATAAGAATTGCACAAATTTTAACTATAGAAATATATTTTGTTTACTAAAACATTGTACATGTAAACTTAAACTCATCGTAACGTTACCGAGCGTTACACTTTTTCATAAGTGACTCCCAGCCGCAACCTAATTTAAGACGTTGTCACGTCAACATTGTACATGTAAACTTAAACTTAACACGAGAGACTCATCGTAACGTTACCGAGCGTTACACTTTTTCATAAGTGACTCCCAGCCGCAACCTAATTTAAGACGTTGTCACGTCAAAAAATATATGATATAACTGAAAATTTACGGTTTTCGCAATTTTTCCTCTATCTGTACTTCATATAAGACGTTACTTCGTACCAAAGGAGATTGCTCAGCTTCCATACATGTTTGGCCTAAGGACCAATAATCATGAAAAATTGTTTCCTAGATTCGAAATTATATATAAATTACTGTAGAAACGAATATTATTATATTATACGAATATTATTATATTACGAAAGGGGACGGACACCCCTGAGAACTTCTATAAACCATATACACTGAACATTTTAAAATAATAAAAAACAAATAAGTTATGTAAACAAACTAGCCAAGTACCGAAATTATGGATTAGATTCAGGTATATAGAGCATGTACATTAGCAGATAGTTGTCTATTTTTAAAGTTAATGCATAAGAGTTACTTTTAATATCAGGTGTCATTTCCGGTTATAAGGTACTCTGTGACAGAAACTGTGTGATGATTGTGAATGAGCCACAAGATTAGAGAGAATTTTTAAACTCTCGTTAACCAAAGAAAACTAAGAGATTTAGGTTCTATAGCCATATATTCAGTAGCTTCATTATTTTTGTTATGTTTTTAAGATAACCATATTTTAGATTTTTAGTGTATCACACCTTATAATTTTATTTATTTATTAATTTATAGTCAGGGAACGTAGGCCCATAGATAGATACCTTAAAGTTTATGGAGGTGTTTGGCGAAAAATGTATGGCAATAGACTTTATGATGTCGCCTACCATCTATAATAATGGTCTGAGCACATTTGCATCTAGTGAAAATGATAATATAATTGTGGATATTAATGTGTAATAAAAAAAAAATATTTATTTTATCGATCTTTACAAGATAGATTTGTTTTTATGTTATATAAACAACTTCGATCATTTTTTGGCTGAATGTTACTACACCCATAGCCATTAAAAATGATTCGTATGTTTTCCAAATCGGTAAAATTAAAAGTCCTTTTAAAAGTAAATATATTATACAAAGGTGTCCGTTGAAATCTAATGACTGTAAATTAAATTATGAATTACGCCAAGAATTACCGTGTATGGGTACGGCCAGAGTGCACTCAGACTCAGACTCAGAAAACAAGCGCGAGAAATAAACAGTGTAGTTAAAGCAGGGTGGCCATAGTGGCAGCAGGCAACCTGCTTAAACTACACTGTATATTTCTCGCGCTTGTTTTCTGAGTCTGAATCTGAATCTGAGTGCACTCTGGCCGTACCCTATGTCAATATTTTTTGTGCATTTAGGCCAATTTGAGCAATCTCCTTTCAAGATTCTAAGTTCACGGGAAGTACCCTGTAGGTTTTAATTCCCGTGCGAGTTTCGAAAATTTGCGGCATAAACGGCTGTATCTTTTGATTGCTTTGGCTTAGAAGTTTGTTTTTTACAGCTCCTTTAACATTAGACCTGAGTATTAGACATGAATTTCAGTTTGATACCTCCACGCGTTCCTGAGAAAAACGGTCTTGACAGACGGACGGACGGACAACAAAGTGATCCTATAAGGGTTCCGTTTTTTCCTTTTGAGGTACGGAACCCTACAAAACAATAGTTCAGTAGGATAATTAGATAAATATTTGTTATAAATATTGATTATCACTAAACGTGTTCCATTACGTATGATCTCATAATTTTAATAGTGCTCTACACACTTTCCTTGAAGACACCAGCCAGATATCTACTTTAAAAGCCAAACCGTTAATTGGTGGCTACGACTTTGTCTGTTTTACAATGAATTTAGAGTACCAGCGACGTGTTCCTTAATTGTGAAGCTTAAATAATCCACATCTATCTTGTTAGCTGCCTGAAACTGCCAATTTGATTACACATTTTTTATGTTTTGATTGTAAAGAATGTTCGGGAATACTTTGTTAAAGAGCTTACTTTCAGATGAGACCAAAATTACAATAATTTGTAGGAAATGAAGTCACCACCAGGTTTCGATCTAGTATGACTATTTGGCAGAAATCTCCAGCAGTAAAATCAGCCTTCAAAATACCTCAAGTTATTGCACAGATTCGATTATATTATCAAGCTTACCTTTAGTTTTCTGAAATAACTGAAAGGTAGTTAAATTTAGAATTAAGAAGAAAACACATCCGTACTCTCTGAGGAACTGCATAGAGATTAAATCCTCCAAGGTATACAGGTATAGGTATACAATACTTTAGCAAATTTAAAGCGTTTAGATTGCTTACCTGATGGTGTTTGTTCTATATTCTCCAAACAGACAGCCCCTTTAAAATCATTTAGTCAGCCCTTACGGCTTACTGGGAAATTAAGAGTGGAAACCAAAACTAAATGGAGTAAGATTTATGTAATGTTGTAATAAAAACTATGATATTGATAGGTACCTACCTCGTTATTTATATCAATTCCTGATATACTTTGTCTTTTTGCAAAGACATCAGCATAAGTTCAATGTCGCTCGATTAGTTTTGAGTAGTTATGCTTTTATGCCACTATTTCCGATTAATTATTTCTATTTTAAGTACATTACTGATTTGCAGTGAATATCAATACAAATATGCTTTACCACGCGGGATGTGA